CAAGGATTCTGCTATGCACTGTCAAGCTACTGGGCCAAGAGCAGTCTTCTCTTCATTTGTGAGTTACCTTGTATCTGTTCCCCTATTAGAATTTTTAAAGTCTTTTGAAATTCCTTTAAAATGACTTAATCCATACTTCCTTCATGAAGCCTTCCCTGACTCCTCTTTTGGCCTGCCAGGTGGTCACTGAACGTGTCCTCTTTGAGTCCCCACTTTGTCTTATACACATTTTATATTCCAATTAAACTATGTTTGAATTATGTTTACATATCTACCGTCTCTCCTACATTGTGAGCTTGTGGAGGGTAAAAGTTGTTCATAATGACGCCATTTAAAAAACAGCTCAATATATGTACTAAGTTCTCACTAAGTGTTCACTGAATGAACTGAATCACATATTACAAGATTCCACTATGTCCACAGATTTTAGAGGACTCCCGTTTAATAAGCTTCTGATTAACTTACGGTTATTTAAGTTAAGCATAATACAGAAACCTCATAAAATTTGCAACTCGGGGTTCAGATACCTACTAAAGTGACTAACTGTGTTTGTGGTAAAACACTACATCTCAGTAGTGCTCCTGAAAAATCTTTCTAATATTTATATTAAACAGGCATTGTGTGATGTTAAAATATTGTTAAATGATTTAGGGGGAAAAAAAGAGGCTATGAACAGACAAGACTTTTATTAGAGAAATTATTTGTCATCTAAGTTGCTGATGTTTCACTAGCTGGAGGAAGACTGCGCGGGGGGCGGGGATGACGGCAGAGCTCCTTACAGTAATCTTAAAGTCAAGCAGCTCCCTCTGTAGTCTGTTTGGCCTACTTTGTTTAATTACTTGCTTTGTGAACATCTCGCTCACACTCTTCTATTTACTCCTCCTCTGCATCTCAGCAGGGAAGCTTTTGAAAGGATAATTCTGTTTTAAATTGATGCTGAGAAAGCTATCGAAGCTTTCGACGTGAAGTGAGTTACATCAGGCAACTAATAAGCAAGAGTTGGGATGTGGTAACTGGGCAGCTTCCCAGATTCACCTGAGTCAGTTTCTCATAGTAAAGCCCTAGGATTTTTTTTGAAGTGAAATCCCAGAGCACTCACACCCATATTCAAATCTAAGTGAAAAAATAAAAACGCTGTCTTGTACCGTAGTTAGGTATAATCTGGGTTCCCTCCACTAAAACAAGTTACCAAAAAGTTGTTAAATTGCTCAACACATTGTATGTCAAATCAATACTCAAGTCACTTTTAAATGAGTGAAAAAAAAGCAAAAGATGTTTTTGGGTTTTTAAAAATAATTCCATCACTTACATATAGAAAATATAAGTGATTCTCTCAGGAACCAATATCCTCAATCAGCAAGGGATTAAATCAGTCAGGATTTACCATTCAAATCTGAATGTACCAGTTCTTAAAATACCTTTACAAATTTCACCAACTTAAGATATGAGAGCTTTTAAACCTAAGACACTAAATTTATTTCTTAAATTACTCAAATATGCCCTCAAAACATAGGACAATAGGAAGTCAACTGGACTGTTTTCTAAAGCAGAAAAATATTTTTCATGCAATAATAGAAAAACTGAACTAGTAAAAATCTAATGAATCAGTTCAAAATTTTATAATGTGCATCTGAAATGGTCACTTTATTTGGAAGATTTCTTCTGCTGCTATTTTTCACAATTTCACTTGAAACGCAAACTCAGTTTAAAAATATTTTCTCCAAACCAACGTAAGGAATTGAGGACTCCCAAAATTAACTACTATATAGGAAAAATCTTAATTTCATAGATTTACCGTGTTACACTTTTCCATTAATTTTACTAATTAGTAGATATATAAACATAGCTTGTGATTTCAAACAATAGATCTGTTTTCATTAAAAATTCTAGCATTCAAACTAGAGAACCAAATTGACTTCTTTTTTATATTATTTTCAAAATTTATTTTACTAGGTGGCTGGACTGGTTTTCTTTGGGGAGAGAATTCAGAAGCAGATAATAGTATAGTTTTTGTTTATGTTTATTAACATTAATTTTACGTGCTAGAAATGCTGGCTTGATCTCTGAAAGCTGTAAACTCTAAATGTATGCCAGTGACATCAAAATTTTTCACCTTTTGAGGAAACACAAAAATTTTATAGCAAATCCAATTCAATAATCCTTAACAACTTAAAGTTTGAAATTCTCTGTATCGTTTTGTATCTTTCAGTGTATATACAAAAAACTCTGATTTACATTATACATTTCAAGGTGTATTTTTAAAAATCCATTTTTTTTTTTAAAGGGGAGTGATGCTGGTAATCTATTGTAAGATGGCCAAGAAAAATGAAGTATGTATTTCTTTCTACAGACTAGTTCACGTCTATTTTTAATACTGAGAAACAAATGTACACCATATTCTTTATTTTTAAAAGATTTTTCATATAATAAAATTACTACTAGCTCACAGTGAAATTTTTTTCCACAAACAAAACTTGTTTATAAAACAAAGCCTGCAAATCACTCAAGGATACATATTTAATGACTAGTGTAGAAAAAAAAATTATGTGTAGAAAAGTAACCCAAACCATATAAATTGTAATACCCAGTATATGCCACAGTATCAGCATGTCCTCTGATAATTTCAAAATGTGGCTGAACAGAGTTATATCAACATCACTATCTTATTTTTCCTCTGTACCTGAAGTGAAAAAAACAGTATATTACACTGAAATTCCAATTAAAAATAAAGACAGCACCACTATACTTAAAAGGGCAGAAAAATCTATCCTTCAAAACATTTTATTGCCTCTATTCTCCAGCCTCTAAGTTTCAGGTGTTACACTTTCAACAAATTGTTAACAGCATTCAAATGCCCCATCTTAAAAAGTCCATATCATCAAAAGCTTTGTCACTATTTTAAAAAGAAATATCAAATATCATTCTATCAAATCTCACTAACAACACTGAAATTTTTAACGAAGAGAATTCATATTAAAAGATAACGGCTTAGAATGAGTGCTTGAGTTTGGAAAGTGCTATTATCTTGATAGCCCACAGGAAAACTGACTGTAGTAACAAGATGAATGGTGATGCAAGGAGCATCAAGTGGGAAATGCTATCTAAAATCCCATAGGGCAGTACATAGCTAGAGAGCATCTCTTTCTAGGAGGCAGCTCCATTATTTCACATAGGCAGTTCAAAGCGTGTAGAAAAGCAAAGCAATTTAAAATCTTGCAAATCTGGCCACTATCCTACTTATACTATCATAAATCCCCAAGAGCTTTTGAGAACGTAGCTTCTGCCTCCCCACCCCACTTGTTCCAGATAGTTTTGAAAACAAAACAGCGTATTAAAAAGCGTATTGTCTTAAATGTACGTGTATTTAAAATGCAATCCTACAACCCAGCATAGAGACATTGCTTTGATGTTTGCGTTGCTGGGCTTAGCTGTGGTTCTTATGAAATTGACGCTATTAAGTGGGATGTTTTACAATGGGCGACATAAACATGCATTTCCTACTTCCGCGGATACACACTTCCCTGAAAGCAACGCACCTGGGGACGGAGCCCTGCCCCCAGACTCCGAGGCTTTACTTGAAACTCCAGAGTTAAGACCTGCCCTCACAGCAGAACCACATGGTCACTTCAATGAGAAAGATTATCTGGCCCCAGGCGCCACTCTTCAGCCCACAGCATCTCCAGAAGGGGCAGAGGAGAGCGCTGCTGAGAAGAGGCGACGAGGAGCGACTGACAACAGAACTGACACTTCCCTACTCTTCAAGCCGTTTCCAGCAAGGGGCACTTGGGAGACGCAGAGGGTGTCCGACGTTCCACCAGTCACCCACCTCAGAGGGGGGCTCCTGCGCGCCCGCTCACGGAAGACATGGCGCGGCCACCTGACCCAGTCCTCCTGGGCGAGAGCGACGCCCGCTCCGCCTGCCCGCGCGACCCCGAGTGCGGACCCGGCTCCCGACCGCCGCACGCAGTGTAAACACTCGGCGCCCGCCGCCTCCCCGCCTGGGGTTGGATGGGGGAAGGAGGGGGCGGAACGCTCGCGCGGACCCACATTTTTGCGCCTCTGGTCACGCTCGGGAGGAAAAGGCGAGGAGGGCGAAGGGGAGGGAAGACGCGGGAGCGATCAGCCGAGAGGGCCGGCGGCGTGCGCGCGAGTGCGCGGCGGGAAGAGCTGCCCGGGCGCCCGCCGCTCCCGCCCGCGCCCCGCGCCCGCTTACCTGCCGGGGTCGCTCCGAAGATTCGCACCACCGGCACCTTCTTGACAGGGGCCTGGGTGAGGGGGGATTGGCAGATATCCAGCCCCTGAAGCGGGCTGGCCATGTAGTAGTCGGCAGTCACTATCCTCACTGAAAACATGTTTGCCGCCGCCGCCGCCACCTCCTCTTCACTAGCGACCTGGCAAAGGCAGCAGCAGCGGCGGTTCCTTCCGCAGCGGCGGCCCCACAGCAGCGGCGGCGGCGGCGGCGCCCCCTCCCCTCACACTCAGACTCGGCGAGCCGCGGCGGCGGGCGGGGCGGCGTGGGCACTACACTGCTGCCGCCGTCTCCTCAGGAGCACCCGGCGAGGGGCGACCGGGGAGAAGCCCTCGCGCTTTCGTCGGTGCTGCTGCTGGTGCTACCGCCACTGTCGCCGCCGCCGGGAATCACACGGGCTCCTCGGTCCCCGGCTGCAGCTCTTGTTGCCATGATGATGATGTCACGGACGCAACCACTGGGGGAGGGGAGAAGGGGTTATGTGTGTGAGAGCGTGTGGGGCGAAGGGAGGGCCAAGAGTAGTTGGGGGAGGGGACACGGCGGGAAAGGGAGGGAGCGGGGCGGGCACCCGAGCGGGACACCCAAGCGGGGGGCCGAGTAGGTGTTTTCTCCCCCCGCCCCCGGGCACGCAGCGAGGGCGGTGGCTGCGGGAGAGCCGGGCCCGCGCGGGGCACGGGGAATCGATGACTCGGCCGGTGGGCACGGCCACCTGGGGTGAGGGGCAGCGGGGGGAGGGGGCGGTGGAGCACCGATGTCATGGATGGGCTCGGAGGGCCCGGCGGGGAGGGGGGCGCCAGTGTTCAGGGTCGTTTTTTGGCGGCTAGGCGGGATTGGCCGGAGCCGCGGCGATCGCGCTCGCTTCGCCGACCGCCATTTCACATTCTGCAAAGAAGGCGGGGGCAGCCGCGGAATCGGCCTTTTACAAGGTAAGAAAACCCGCCCGCGGGAGTGGGGCGGGGTGGGGGGGAGGAGGCGAGGCGCAGATCTCGTGCCGCCGCGGCCTCGCGGGAGGCGGGGGCGGCGGACGCAGCCGGCCCTTCTCAGGTAACGCCGCGGCCTCGCGCGTGGCCCAGGGGCGGTGCGAGGGGCGGGGGCGCGCGAGCGCGGGCTTCGGCCTATAAAAGGGCCGCCCCGCCGCTCCCTCCCGAACGTGCGAGACGCTGGGCCCCCTCCTCCTCTGCCGCCGTTCTGCAGTGTCTGCACCCGGCCGCTTAATGAGATTTATTCACGCTCGGCTCTGCTCATCTTTGCCAGGGGTTGGCAGATCCAGTGCACAGGGATTTCCCACCGCGGTGTTTTTCTCCCGCCCCTGTGCTTTCCTCTCGCCGTAGTATATCCTTCCTTGGTTTCCTCCCGGCGCCTTCAGGCTGCGTCCCGGGCGCGCTCCTGGACTTGTAAGGACTTGTCAGTTCCCAGTGACCTCCCTCCTCCCCTCCCTTCCCCGGCGGAATGTAGGATTAAGAGCCCTTCAGCGAAATTTTCGGCCAAAGAAAAGGCCCGTGAAAGTCACCGCATCAGACGTGGACTCCCAGTGTTATTCATTAACGGTTTGTGTGAGGGTTTACTAGCCTAAGGCCAGAAGGCAAAAGGGAAGGACCGTTAGACAAAACAACTTCATCCAAAAAGGAGGGGGTGCAGTTGTGAAAGCGAGAGGGGGAAAAAGCAGGGTAGCAGGCGATGCAGCTGGGTTTTCCATAATATTGGAACCGTTAGGTTTTTTGTCTGACTTGGTCACTGACACTGGGCGTGACCTTGGGCAAATTGGTTTTTGTTTGTTTTTTTCGGGGCCTCTGTTTGCTCATCTGTGAAACGAGAGTTTTCACTTAAAAATTTATAAGTTTCTTCCCAGCAAAATTATTTAAGCAGTAGACGGCAGAAACCGTGGTTTCAAGTTTGAAATAGGCCACTGAATTAGGACTCTTGACAGTCATTTTCAGTCTACCCAAATTAGAGATCATTCTTTCATACATGTATTTCCAGGTGTATTTTAATGGTTAGTAGGTTGCTATATATTTGAAGTGTTGTGAGAGATCCTCATTTGGAAATACTGTGGTTCTCAAAGTAGGAAAACTAGAAGGTTCAAAGGGACAGAGCACTGGTAAGCTGTCTATAAATTCCATGACATACAATGCTAATAAGAATCTGTGCTCCAGGGAATTCGAGACTGATTACCACATCAAATTAGCCTGCGTTTTCAACCTGAGAGCATGATTATAAACATAGGTAGCAAGATTTCTACTAATATACAGAAAATTACCTAGTATTTTAAGAGGCAAAATCTCTTAAGTTGATTTAAGTTTTAGAAGGCAATGGAAATGATTTTAAAAAAGGACTACCATACAAAATGCATTTTATGGAAAAATACCTTGTACAAACTGAATATCAAATGCGCAGTACCAGTGATTCTCACAGTATTCTAAAGAACACTAGAGTGTTCTTTAAAATTTAATATTTGAAAAAAGATTTAATAGTTTGGCCCTTACTAAATCACATTTTTGAGGGATGGGACCTGGAAATCTGTATTGTTAGCAACTCCACCCACCACTGTCATGGTTCTTCGGTAATACAAAATCATGAGTGCCTGTACTATATTACAATCTAGTAAATCCATAATATTTATACTATTCCTAACTAGAAAAAGGTAAAAGTGTTCTTGCCTGGGAAATCCCATTGACAGAGGAACCTGGTGAGCTACAATCCATGGGTCACAAGAGTTGAACACAATTTAGTGACTAAACAATTACCATCAAATTCACAGATTAGCTATTTCTGGAAAATGTTTTCTTTCCTCCTACCTCATAAATCAGCATCATTTACTTTAAGAAAAGGCAGTTGCAACCACCATTCAGATCCTTCTAGAACTCCAAGGAAGGAATGTTCACTCTTGAAGAGAAACATTTGCAGCATGAAATTAGGATATTGTGTCCAGTTGCATGTAATTAAATTAATGTTCAGATGGAAAACCTGACAATACTCCCCTAATTAATCACTGTCAAATGTGTTTTATCAGTATATTCTTTAGAGGTAAGAAAGAGCTCTGGACTCTTGAGTTAGAATGAAAAACCATCATTTACTAGGTAAATGAGTTTGGAAAGATAACTGTTTTGAGGGGTTTCTTTCCTCATCGATTAAATGGAGAGTAATTCCTGCTTTAACTTTTATGGGATATTATGAGATAATGTATGTGAAAGTATCATCATAAACTTTGCCATCCAGACATTTAACTCGTCTGAAAACAGTAAAATCATTTGGAACTCTTACTGACATACAATATGAGAAATGCCACAATTGAACTCTATACTCAGTAACCTTAAAGCATCTATTTGAGTTGTTGTTACTGTTAAGTGACTGTTTGCCAAGTGATTTGAGATAGAGTGAGAAAGCAGACATGGTTCCTGCTCTTAGAGATTTTACAGTCTAGCATCATAGAAATGTATTATAGTCATATCAATCAACATTTGATCATCTCTTCTAGTTCTCTGACCTATGCTCATCATGTCATGCCTTTAGTAAAAGCCTGCTCAGCCTTCTATACCAATACTGTTCAATGTCTATTAGCATCTGCCTCTTAGCAATTTATAATCTAGAACAGAAAGCAGTGGATACCATAATTTTTTGGCAGATATTATAAGACGGCTTACTCAACACTTATCCAACCCCCTTCTAGTTTGTTTTTCTGTACTTTAGAAGTTAGAAAATTGTAAAATACTGTTTCGACACTGCCTTGCAACTGGAGTACTGGCATGGATGAGTGTGTGCTGGTAAGTCATTAAGGATGGCTGGGGAGGGGGGAAGACCCTGATTTCTAGTACTGACCAGTTTTCATTGTGTGAATACTCCCAAGCTATGAAAGTGGTTTCACTGAATGGGGAGTTAGTTGGAGAAGAAGCTGACGATTACCAGCTGGCTTCAGCCTTTCTCTCCATGCTACCTAGTTTCCAGCAATCAAATGTGCCCATTCAAGACAGAGACCTGAAAATGAGCAACACAATGCCTCTACTGGACTCAGGGCAATGGGATTTTCTGGCAAACACCATGGCAGAGGTGTCTGATTCTTCTGAGTAGCTGGGGAGGAATTCTGGCATTTTGGGAGCCATAGGTGCTGACTGGCAAGTGGTGCCACGGTGGGTTTCTGCTAGAATAGCAATTTGATGTGGGATGAATATTCTTCCTGGTGTGGTTTTTTTCTGGATGTTGTTTCTAGCAATGTATTTTTCAAGCCTGATTGTCTGGTCCTCTCAGAGATCTATGAGCTAAGTAGTATCCTTTAATCCCTTTCTGCTTAAACTAGCTCAGTCACAGTCAGCTACACAGTTTGTTGAGCCCAGAGCAAAATGAAAAATGTAGGGCCCCTGTTCACAAAGCAGGAAAAAAATTGCCATTACATGTACTGAAATATAAGGCTTTTTCTTTCTTCTGTCATCTCTCCCTCAACTTGTCATGCTGTTTTTTTAATTTGTGTTTTAATGTTATTCTGAGTATAGTAAAATTAGAATTTTAGATTATTAGCATGAATTTTACCATTTATCTTTAATTGTGCAGTGCCATTTATAGATGCAAATAGAAGAGCATTTAACTCATACACGAAATCACCAGAACTAAACAGTTCATATTTTGTAGTTTATCCATGCCACAAGGATGTATTTTGTGCTTTTCAAGCAGTGTAAATACTGCATACAACCAACTCAGCTATTTCTTTCCCTTCTTGGTATGAGCACAGCCTATCAACCTGAGTAAGGAAGGACTGAACTGAAAGGAACTGTGGGTTGCCCTACCTTTCCCCTTCCTTCTGTGCATCATTTTCAGTGAAAATAGTCATACAGCAAAGTAACACACAACAAGAAAGGATATGACGGAGTTACTTGGTCACTTGTGTGCTTTAGGATGCCACTGTCTTCTTTCTCTACCTGACACAAGTTCTGGTTGAAATGGAAAGCATTGCCTCTTACAGCTGTCGCACCTCCACTAAATCAGTCACTGATGCAACATGCTTGCCTTGTAGCCACTTTGTAACTCTGAGTTCCTGTACTGCTTAGGTTCATGTAATCCTTGCGAGGCGTTACACTGATGCATGCAAACTGGGTAGGAAGGAAAAAGACAAGCCTCCTCTCCTTGCCTGTATGATCCATTGTACCACTGACTTCTTTTGTAAAGCAGATGTTCAGACATAAAAGTATGAAGATTTTCAGCATGGTAACTACAGAGCGTGAAACCGAGCAGTGGGCCTGTGTGACCGCACAGTTTGTGCCCATGAAGCTGACCCGGAGCTCAATGTTTCTCAAGGGGGGTTCTCTGATATTTTGGATGAAACAATTCTTTATTGTGTAGGATATTTAACATCCCTGACCCCTGGGCACTACATTCCACTGTGATAAAAATGCCCCCACATATTTCTAAATGCCCCCAAAGAGGGAGTTACTTCTCTCTACTGAACTCCTGGAGTGGACTCCGCTGTCTGCAGCTAGGGACCATGATCATTACAGATCTAGGAAAGGTCATGTGCAATTTTTGCTTTGGATTCTCAAGCAGAGCAAAATACAGAGTTGAGTTAAAAAGATTTCAAAATTCTCATACCTGGGAGAGCAGAATTATGGTGATCTTTTCTTTCCATTGTCAGAAAAATAATACCAACGACCTTGGTGATGAAGCAAACATTTGGGAATGAAAATTTAAAGGGGACCAGTGAGTTTTATGTGTCACTTGCATATAAATGGTAGTTGATCTTTTCTAAGGGAAATTTCTGCTCAGTCCTTCATACAGTGTCTGGCCTCTATGAAACCATGATGGAAAAGAAACTCATTTCCTCCCGGAAGGAATTTGGAAGACCTAAGTAAGCATGGCAAACTCTGGAGGCAGTTGCCATCGACTGCTTGCTCTCAAAAAGACTTCATGCAGGTTTCCCCCAATTTATTCACAGCAGCCATCTGGGTATAAGATATGCACATAAATACATATTGCCTGAACGATTAATAAAATATTACTAAAAGAATGGAGTTTTATGTCTCTTCTTAAAAAACTGAACGACAGTAAAATTAATCATTGTG